TATACAGATTAATTAGGTGACTGAAGCCACCAACTAGACTAAAATATAATCCTGCAATCAATACCCCTTATCCACACAATTGAATAGGTTAGTGTCTTAAGCTTATCTTCTTAATAATTCGGTAATCTTTAATATATTAGGCATAATTAATTAGGTTGATTCCCCTCCTTCCTTATGATCAAAATGTAAACTAACCACTTATTACACGTATATGTCCCCATGCATAATCATACCATATATGCATAATATATAACAAGTCAATTATAATCATACCACATCCTTAACCTTATCACGTTTTACAATAAATAAAATTATAGTTCCACTGCTAATTCATAAGTTTTAGATCAACTGATAAATAATCATTTATAATTGACTTGTTATATATTATGCATATATGCATATATGGTATGATTATGCATGGGGACATATACGTGTTAAAAGTGGTTAGTAGGTTTTTTTTTCGAAATCAAACAAATTTACATTAAAGGAGCTAAATTGCTAATATTTGGGACCTAGAAATTAACACAAATGGGTCGCAACGCATATAATAGTGTAATATGAATGTATATAAACTGATTTACATTCAATCATTTCCGTTTTTTACTCTAATTTCAATCAGTTATGTTTAGCAAAATACGCCAGAAGTGTCAATTGAATGGCAATCTCTAGCATCTGGTTATTCCAGTCTACACCGATAGTATTTACTATGCATGCTCTCCAGATAAGAATATAGCCTTACCGTTTGACATGACTTGTGGAATATGTCTAGCCTTGTTCTTCGAGTCCCTTATTATAAATGGCGCTGAAACGCATTATGGTATACGATTCGTGTACCAATGGTAAAATGTTCATTTTGTTTTAAATATTGGATATGAAATGAAATGGGGTTTAACGTCCTACAAATATTGGATATCAAAAGCCCATCTTTTCACGATACAATAACAACACCAATGTTGATTTAAATTGACAAATAATTTGCGTTTTCAATGTCGAAGACTTTGGATGATATTTAGTTAGAGACTTAGCTACTTTAAGATTGAAAATAGGTTGCCAGGCAACAAAACATACGGCCACAGCAACTAAATCGTCCGAGCAGTCGACAAGGGTTGTCACATATTTATTCTTTTGTAGGTAATTAGGGGCATTTAATAGACAATTTCATACAGATGACATTATAATTATCGTCGTTTGAGGGTTCACAAGGTTCTAAAAACTAAAATAAGGGCCATAACACTGGAAGTAATCTACAGAAATTGTTGAAATTCGACAGGCTTTTTCGTTTTACTAATTCAAATAATGCATGTAAATTCCATACAGATCGAAATGATAACTTTTGTCGTTCAAACGTTCACAAGGTTCAACAAAGTAAATCAAGGGCCATAACTCTAGAAGTAATTGACGTAAGTTGCTTACATTCAATAGGCTTCTTCATTTCACTAATTTAAATGATGTATATGAATTTCATACAGATTGGGTGATAACTTTTGTCGTTCGAGAGTTCACAAGATTCAACAAAGTGAAACAAGGGCCATAACTCTAGATGTAATTAACGGAAATTTGCTGAAATTCAACAGATTCTTTGTTTTACTAATTTAAATGATGCATATAAATTTCATACAGATTGGTTGATTACTTTTGTCGTTAGAGCGTTCACAGTGTGCAACAAAGTGAAACAAGGACCATAACTCCAAAAGAAATTAACGGAAGTTATTGAAATTAAATAGGCTTCTTCATCTCACTAATGCAAACAACATCAATTTCAAAACAATCAGATGATAAATGTAGTCTGTTCACAAAAATTTTTGGACAGACCGACGGCAATATACGACCACATTTCCATGTGGGCATATAAAAATAATGTTTATTTATATTAATTGAAAAATTTCTCCTACTTTTTTTTAAATTGCGAAGTCTTTTCGGAAACCAGACTGTTTGTAATTTTGTAACATATGGTGATCCATGGTAAATCCAGAAAATTTGTGTGGGGTACCTTATGCCCTACTAAGCATGTGCTTATTTTGCTTAATGAAAAATCCAGCCCTGCATCCAGTTGATTAATGAATGAAGTCACAGGGACTACACATCTAATCACTAATTAACATTTCTTATGTATTTGGTCACTGTGACGTCACTGGGCAACTGGCGTTCGAGGAGATCCAGAGTGTTTTCCATAATTGGCAACGTCGTTTTTACAGAAGATCTCTAATTGCGACTTTGAGTGAGGTTGGCTCATTTAATTTTAATCGGATTAGTGTGAACTTGTCGTAAAGTGTATGTAGTAACGACTGGCCCGCTATAAGTGATAAAATTTTTGCCATTTTATATTTTATGTACTCTTACCTTTCGTTAGTAGTAAGTAATGTGACCTGACCTAGTAATTTAGACAAATAAAATAAACACATACTGTAGGTTAGATACCATGGCAGTATGGAATCAATAGAAAAGAATGTGAAAGCAAGATGGACATAACTTATGTTACAATTTGAATCATTTTAGATCAACATGCTGTTTGGTGGAACTATTTTTTTTTTCTAAATCTGCCTTTTATTCTCAAATATTGGTTCTTTAAATAAATGAATGTGTGAGGTCTTTGTCAAATAAAAGGGAATAATCAGATGGCTACGTACATTAAGTAACAAATTCTAAAGAAGGCTAATATTAGAATGATAATGATTAATATACATGTATAAATTGATACAACCAGCGGCTGCCAGGCAGGATACGCCCTCATTATCGAGAGTTGGATAGAGAACAAGCTAAAAAGAAAGTGATTTTTCCTACAATCAAGGGCCATAATTCAGTAAATTACAATTCGATATGAGCAAATATCGAAAGGAACCGAAATCTTTGGGTTATAAACTTACATTTCAAGTTTCAACAAAATCGAATAAAAATTGTGACCTCTAAAGGGTCCACAACCTTGATATACCATATGTTTACGCTATTCGAGAAAGAACGGCGGTCATTTTGTCTGTCAGTTTTGGGCCGATTTTCACGAAATTCGAACTTAGCCAGCCTTAGGGTGTAACGGTGATATAATAATACGTTTTTTTAAATCGGATAAAAATTATGACCTCTATAGGGTCCACAAGCTAAAAACGAGATTTTCGTACAATCAGGGGCCATAATTCAGGAAGTTACGGTCCGATATGCGCGAATATCGAAAGGAACCAAGATCTTTGGGTTATAAACTTATATTTCAAGTTTCAACAAAATCAGATAAAAATTGTGACCTCTATAGGGTCTACAACCTTGATATACCATGTTTTTACGCTATTTGAGAACGAAGGGCGGCCATTTTGTCTGTCAATTTTGGGCTGAATTTCACAACCTTGATATACCATATTTTTACGCTATTTGAGAACGAACGGCGGCCATTTTGTCTGTCAGTTTTGGGCCGATTTTCACGAAATTCGAACTCAGTCGTCCTTGGGGTGTAACGGTGATATAATAATACGTTTTTTTAAATCGGATAAAAATTATGACCTCTATAGGGTCCACAAGCTAAAAACGCAATTTTTCGTACAATCAGGGGCCATAATTCAGGAAGTTACGGTCCGACATGATTATCGAAAGGAAATGAGATCTTTGGGTTATAAACTTACATTTCAAGTTTCAACAAAATTGGATAAAAATTGTGACCTATAATAGGGTCCACAACCTTGAAATACCCTATTTTTACGCTATTTGAGAACGAAAGGCAGCCATTTTGTCTGTCAATTTTGGGCCGATTTTCACGAAATTCAAACTCAGTCGTCTTTAGGGTGTAACGGTGATATAATAAATTACTTTTTTTTAATCCTGATAAAAATTATGACTTCTATAGGGTCCACAAGCTAAAAACAAGATTTTTCGTACAATCAGGGGCCATAATTCAGGAAGTTACGGTCCGATATGCGCGAATATCGAAAGGAACCGAGATCTTTGGGTTATAAACTTACATTTCAAGTTTCAACAAAATCGGATAAAAATTGTGACCTATAATAGGGTCCACAACCTTGAAATACCCTATTTTTACGCTATTTGAGAACGAAAGGCAGCCATTTTGTCTGTCAATTTTGGGCCGATTTTCACGAAATTCAAACTCAGTCGTCTTTAGGGTGTAACGGTGATATAATAAATTACTTTTTTTTAATCCTGGTAAAAATTATGACTTCTATAGGGTCCACAAGCTAAAAACAAGATTTTTCGTACAATCGCAGGGGCCATAATTCAGGAAGTTACGGTCCGATATGCGCGAATATCGAAAGGAACCGAGATCTTTGGGTTATAAACTTACATTTCAAGTTTCAACAAAATCGGATAAAAATTGTGACCTCTAAAGGGTCCACAACCTTGATATACCATATTTTTACGCTATTCGAGAACGAACGGCGGTCATTTTGTCTGTCAATTTTGGGCCGATTTTCACGAAATTCGAACACAGCCATCCTTAGGGTGTAACGGTGATGTAATAATACGTTTTTTTAAATCGAATAAAAATTATGACCTCTATAGGGTCCACAAGCTAAAAACGTGATTTTTCGTACAATCAGGGGCCATAATTCAGGAAGTTACGGTTCGATATGTGCGAATATCAAAAAAAAACGAGATCTTTGGATTATCAACTTAGATTTCAAGTTTCAACAAAGTCAGATAAAAATTTTGACCTTTATAGTGTCCACAAGCTAAAAACGTGATTTTTCGTACAAACAGGGGCTATAATCCATGAAGTTTCGATCCAATACATGCCAATATCGAAAGGAGCCAAGATCTTTTGGAGATAAACCTATATTTCAAGTTTTGTCAAAATCGGATAAGAATTGTGACCTGTAGAGTGTCCACAAACAAATTGTGGACGTCTGGACGGACAGGAGCGATGACAATATACGTCCACATGAAAATGTGGGCGTATAAAAATGGATTAGTCTAAGTTGATTATAAAACTGATTATATAATAAGTATCATCGTTTATCGATCATGTATACTTACACTTATTTATAAAATAAATAATAACCCACCTTAATAAATAAACAGCTCTTTCAATATCACTCAGATGTTCATCAACTGTTAGTCTGTCTAATTCTTCATTTGTCTGAACAAACAAAACATGAAATTTAGACTTTTCAATACTTTTGTATCAATCAATTATTATAGAAGCAGATCCAAAACTTGATTTCAGAAGATTTTTCTGCAACTATGTTTCTGGTAATATATTTTCTTGTTCACCACCACTGGCCTTTACTCACACACACATACCTTGAGGCATTTAAGTGATTTCCTATTTTTCAAGGCTACTGTCTAAGCCATTCTAAATAATAACATAGGTTGCCAGGCAACGAAACATACGCCCACAGCAGCTAAATTGTCGGGGCAGTCAACAAGAGTTGTCACATATTTTTACTTTTTTCGGTAACGAAACATTTATAATACATTAAAATCTGATTAAGAGTAACAACTCATTAACTAATTATCAGAAAACCATTAGAATTTGTATGGTTTTTATAAAGTTCTGCCCCATGCTAACGTTTAGTATACGAAACTTTTAACATCATGGATTTAGCTGTTCAAGTCATAAAAATTCATTGAAAATCAATACACTTGTTCGTCTCAAGACCTTAAACTCTGTGTATCAATCTGAAGTCAATCGGATGATAACTTTAGCCTCTAGAGCGCGACAAGATTTTTCAAAGTGATCAAGGGCCATAACTTTGGCAGAAATCGTTGAAAATCAATATGATTCTTCGTCTCATCACCTTAAACACTGTGTATAAATTTGAAGTCGATCGGATATTAACTTTAGCCTCTAGAGCATTTACAAGACTTTTTGAAGTGATCAAGGGCCATAACTCTGGCAGTAATTATCGATAATCGCTAAAAATGAATAGACTTCTTCGTCTCATGACCTTAAACACTGTGTATAAATTTAAAGTCAATCGGATATTAACTTTAGCCTTCAGAGCGTCCACAAGATTTTTCAAAGTGATCAAGGGCCATAACTCTGGCAGTAATTTTCTGAAATCGCTGAAAATCAATAGGCTTCTTCGTCTCATGACCTTAAACATTATGTATAAATTTAAAGTCAATTGGATATTAACTTTGGCCTCTACAACATCCATAAGATTTTTCAACACTTTTTGCATAGAAGAGACAACCATTTTGTCCGGCAGTTTTGGTCCGATTTTCACGAAATTCGAACTCAGCCGTCATTAGGGTGTAACGGTGATATATTCAAACATTTCTTTCAATCGGATACAAATTGGGACCAAAAGCTAAAAATGTGATTTTTCATACATTCAGGGGACATATTCTATGAAGTTATGGTCTGATATATGCCAATATCGAAAAGAACCGAGATCTTTGGGAGATAGACCTATATTGCAAGTTTCGTTAAAATCAGATAACAAGCGGTTGCCATGCAAGATACGCCCACATTTTGCAAGAGATGGACAGAGATAAAGCTAAAAAAAAGAAGTGATTTTTTCGTACAATCAAGGGCCATAATTCAGGAAGTTACAATCCGATATGCATGAATATTGAGAGGAACCAAGATCTTTGGATTATAAACATACATTATGCAAAAGCTAAATCTGTCTATTGCAGGTCTTTCTTTAGGCCTGAAATGTTATCTAAATTATTAATTAGACATTAATTAACCTATCCAGACCATAATCAAGTCTAAATGCCATCGCTAGCCTGCGATCTTCAGTGGATTATAAGCCGATTTACTGCATAACTTTCCTTCACGATTTAACGATTAAATGGATAATCGAGACTATTCTGTTTATCGTACTGACTTTAGTAATGATGGTCGAGGCTAGGCGGAAATTTCAATCGCTTAGTTCTCAGTTCATAGTGGATCAATTTGAATGAAATTTTCAGCAAATTGCCTTAACATTATCTAGTTTTTAACTATTATAGTGAGAACTGCCTTTAGTTTCCTCAAAATCAAATAAAAATTGTGACCCGTAGAGTGAAAATGTGGGCGTATAAAAAGCGATTTTTCGTACGATATCAGGGGACATAATCCACAAGTTATTGTCTGACATGCACGAATAACAAAAGGAATCAAAAACTCTGGGATATAACCATATATACTATTCAAAAAAAGTAGGGGATATTTGATTTTGGGGGCATAATACTAAAATATGCAAATGACTACGAAAAAAGTCACTATAGAACCTAACAGAAGAAACATTTCCAGTTACATGTGACGCCCAAACGCACCAATAGCTACCGCATGGAATGCAGGTGATGCTTGGGATCATCATGGGGGTCCAACCCAAGATTTGCACGACTCTGACTTTGAATGTTACAGTCATTGTGGCATTGAATTCCAGGGTGGAAACATCAGTTTAATTGTTTTAGTGACCAGAAAACAAATTTTGATATGCGTCGGCTTACCCAAAATGAAAGGTTACGTGCCCTTGGCATGCTACAGATCGGCACAACACAGGCGGTTGTGGCGCGGACGATGAATGTTTCTCAGTCTGTCATAAGCAGGCTATGGTCCAGATACCGTGATACACAATCTGTACAGGACAGACCACGCTCAGGTCGACCAAGGGCGACAACTCAAGCCCAGGATCGATTTATCCGTACCTTGGCCTTGAGAAATCGTGTCATCACAGCAAATCAGATCAGCGCTCGTCTTCAAACAGACACTGGTGTGAGAGTGAGTGGCCAGACGATTCGGAATCGACTGCATAGGGGTCACCTTCGCGCCCGATGTCCTCGCGTGATCTCTTGTTTGAGAGATCATCACATTCAGGCAAGACGTCGTTGGTGTAGGGATCGTCAACACTGGGATAATCGACGCTGGAGCAATGTGATGTTTTCAGATGAGTCATGGTTCACTGTTGATTTTTTGGACAGACGTAGGAGGGTGTGGCGTCGTCGAAACGAGCGCTTCCAAGACGTTAACGTCATCAGACATGATCGATTTGGGGGTGGTTCTGTTATGGTGTGGGGAGGCATCACTGTTGCTGGAAGAACGGCTTTACATGTTGTTGCAGGGTGTGTTACAGGCCAGTACTACCGGGACAACATCTTGGCAGTCCATGTTGTGCCGTTTGCACGACGTCATGGCCGCCGTTTCATCTTCCAGGATGACAACGCAAGATGTCACAGGGCCAGGATCGTTACAGGTTACCTCCAACAACAGAACATCACCACATTACCTTGGCCAGCACTGAGTCCCGACCTCTCCCCCATCGAGCATGTCTGGGACATGCTTGGACAGAGGTTACGTCAACGTCAACAACGTCCTGCAACAGGAATGGGACAATCTGGACCAAAATGACCTTAGACGTCTCATTAGGAGTATGCCACGTCGGATCAATGCTTGTTTGGCAAACAGGAGGAGGATTTACCCGTTACTGACTTGGTTGTGATGCTGTGGTAACTTTGCTGTTTGACCCCGGGTATCATTTTACCCTTATAATGGTCAGTCTGTGCCTTACTTAGTCTAACGATCATTTGCAATAAATCGATGAATGTGAACTTCATTTCATTTTGTCATTTGTTTCTTCGTCAGTTTCATTAGGTGACTTTAATAATACTTAAAAATCAAATATCCCCTACTTTTTTTGAATAGTATATTTCAAGATTCATCAAAATCAGAAAAAATTCAGACCTCTAGAGGGTTCACAACCTTGATATTACATACTTTAACACTATTTGCGTATAGTGAGCGTTCATTTTGTACGGCAATATCCATCCAATTTTCACGAAATTTCAAACTCAACCATCATTCTAGTGTAATGGTGATATATACATGTATTTGAACGTTTTTCTAAAATCTGATAAAAACTGCAACCTCTAGAGGGACCACAAGCCAAAACCAAGATTTTTTCGTACAATCAGGGGCCATAATCCAGAAAATTAAGGTTCAATATGCGCGAATATCGAAAGGATCCGAGGTCTTTGGGTTATAAATGTACACTTCAAGTTTCATCAAAATCGGATAAAAATTGTGACCTCTAGAGTGACCACAAGTTAAAAACGTGATTTTTGGTACAAGCAGGAGCCATAATCCATGAAGTTACGGTTAAATACATGTCAAAATCGAAAGGAACCGAGATCTTTTTGAGATACGCCTATATTGCAAGTTTCGTTAAAATCAGATAACAAGCGGTTGCCATGCAAGATACGCTCACATTTTGCAAGAGATGGACAGAGAACAAGCTCAAAAAAAGAAGTGATTTTTTCGTACAATCAAGGGCAATAATTCAGGAAGTTACAATCCGATATGCATGAATATTGAGAGGAACCAAGATCTTTGGATTATAAACATGTATTTCAAGTTACATCAAAATCGGATCAAAATTGTGTCCACTCTCTAGAGGGTCCAAAACCTTGATATACCATATATTTACATTATTTGCGTACAAGGGGCAGCCATTTTGTCCGGCAGTTTTGGCCCGATTAACAGTGATATATTCAAACGTTTTTTAAAATCGGATAAAAATTGTGACATCTAGAGGGATCACATCCTAAAAACGCGACTTTTCGTACAATCAAGGGCCATAATTCAGGAAGTTATGATCCAATATGTGCGAATATCGAAAGGAACCAAGATCTATAGGGTCCACAACCTTGATATACCATATTCTTATGCTATTTGAGAACGAATTGCGGCCATTTTGTCTGTCAATTTTGGTCCGATTTTCACGAAATTCGAACTCAGTTGTCCTTAGGGTGTAAACTTGATATAATATTAATAATACAGATTTTTAAATCAGATAAAAATTATAACTTCTATAGGGTCTACAAGCTAAAAATGCGATTTTTCGTACAATCAGGGGCCATAATTCAGGAAGTTATGGTCCGATATGCGTGAATCGAAAGGAACCAAGATCTTTGGGTTATAAACTTTACATTTCAAGTTTCAACAAAATCGAATAAAAAGTGTGTCCTCTATAGGGTCCACAACCTTGATATACCATATATTTAAGCTAGTTGAGAACGAATGGCGGCCATTTTGTCTGTCAATTTTGGGCCGTTTTCACGAAATTCGAACTCAGTCTTCCTTAGGGTGTAACGGTGATATAATATTACGTTTTTTTAAATCAGATAAAAATTATGACTTCTATAGGGTCCACAAGCTAAAATCGCGATTTTTCATACAATCAGGGGCCATAATTCAGGAAGTTATGGTCCGATATGCGTGAATATCGAAAGGAACCGAGATCTTTGGGTTATAAACTTACATTTCACGTTTCAACAAAATCGGATAAAAATTGTGACCTCTATAGGGTCCACAAGCTAAAAACGTGATTTTTCGTACAAACAGGGGCCATAATCCATGAAGTTTCGATCCGATACATGCCAATATCGAAAGCAACCGAGATCTTATGGAGATAAACCTATATTTCAAGTTTCGTCAAAATCGGATAAGAATTGTGACCTGTAGAGTGTCCACAAACAAATTGTGGACGGACGGACAGGGGCGACATGAAAATGTGGGCGTATAAAAATTGTGACCTGTAGAGTGTCCACAAACAAATTGTGAACGGACGGACAGGTGCGACACCAATATACGTCCACGTGAAAATGTGGGCGTATAAAAAGTTGAACGGACGGCATAATACGTCCACAAGAAAATGTGGGTGTATAAAAAGGGATCCCAAACTATGTGAGAACAGTAACTTCTTTACGGTCCCCGAGCTAGTCTATCCTTGACTGCCACGTGATGAGCAAAACCAATATAAGTTGGACAGATTTTGACAACCAAGTGTTGTTTAAAGACAAAATGTAATCATTTTGATCGCTTGAGTTTTGACAAAGAAAAGATTCAGCTGAAGACTGTTAGGCTACATATATAGGGCTCCCTAGGAGTAAGATCCATTGATTTGATTTGATTTTTGTTGTTTATTGCTTGAAATATTGGGAAGTATTAACATGAACCAAAGTAACGGATAATAGGCATATTTATGTGTATGAGAACACCTAAATTCAAAACCAAGATGAGACTAACAGCTTTTTCATATGATCCCAAACTTGAATTGTCATCAAAATGCATTCTGTCACCCCTTTGTACAAAAAGATCTAACCTGACAACTACATAGCAAGCATTCATATTTCACGTTTCAACAAAATCGGATAAAAATTGTGACCTCTATAGGGTCCACAAGCTAAAAACGTGATTTTTCGTACAAACAGGGGCCATAATCCATGAAGTTTCGATCCGATACATGCCAATATCGAAAGCAACCGAGATCTTATGGAGATAAACCTATATTTCAAGTTTCGTCAAAATCGGATAAGAATTGTGACCTGTAGAGTGTCCACAAACAAATTGTGGACGGACGGACAGGGGCGACATGAAAATGTGGGCGTATAAAAATTGTGACCTGTAGAGTGTCCACAAACAAATTGTGAACGGACGGACAGGTGCGACACCAATATACGTCCACGTGAAAATGTGGGCGTATAAAAAGTTGAACGGACGGCATAATACGTCCACAAGAAAATGTGGGTGTATAAAAAGGGATCCCAAACTATGTGAGAACAGTAACTTCTTTACGGTCCCCGAGCTAGTCTATCCTTGACTGCCACGTGATGAGCAAAACCAATATAAGTTGGACAGATTTTGACAACCAAGTGTTGTTTAAAGACAAAATGTAATCATTTTGATCGCTTGAGTTTTGACAAAGAAAAGATTCAGCTGAAGACTGTTAGGCTACATATATAGGGCTCCCTAGGAGTAAGATCCATTGATTTGATTTTTGTTGTTTATTGCTTGAAATATTGGGAAGTATTAACATGAACCAAAGTAACGGATAATAGGCATATTTATGTGTATGAGAACACCTAAATTCAAAACCAAGATGAGACTAACAGCTTTTTCATATGATCCCAAACTTGAATTGTCATCAAAATGCATTCTGTCACCCCTTTGTACAAAAAGATCTAACCTGACAACTACATAGCAAGCATTCATCATGGTATTTTGCAATGACAAAGTTTGTGAGGAGTCCAATTTTTCAAAGCAGAATTTTTATATGCAATTGTTTAATTCTTTAAATATGATTAGCAAATAAATACTGTGAAAAACAGTGATTAAACTCCATGTGTATTTTTTACACATACTTCTGTAAGACACTTTAGACAGTAACAAAGTTATAACTTAACACAGCCAAATAAAAAACATAATTTCACACCACACGTGTTTTTATCTATATAACATTAGTTAGTTTATAGTGTAGCAATGTAATTATATATGTATTTGAAAAATATCCCTCCGGTCATATTCATATGACCTAATTCTATTAACGGTACAACAGTAAATATTGTGGCAAATTTGCAAATGACCCCAACTGATTATTTCCTAAAGTAAATTTATTTTAAACAATGTCCAAAACTAAAGTTTAAATGTATAATCTACTGGTACTGGAAAATTCAACAGAGTCAAATAATTAGATAACAGTATTTCATATTATATAAGATAATGTATAAATAAAGCAAATATAGCCTGGTCCAGGTGTGAAAGGAATTAAGTTTTTTAAAATGAAACAAACGCTGTTTTTGAGAAATATGAGGACTTTATTAACAGATAGCAGAGAAGGAAAACAAATACTGAATTTATTATAACAATTATACAAACCTTCAATGATCGGGGAATCACTCGCTCCAATTGGAGCTCCTGCAAGTCTTCTGCAAGCGACGTAGATGTTGCATCCATTATAATATACTATAAATCATTTAAAAGATAACCTTTTCTTTTTTTATATACAGTTCTGCAGTGTTTAGAGTAACTTTTATAAGCCTAGTGGCACTATGATTGTTGATTGCTGAATGTCCTTTTCTGTGTTGCTAGAGGGCCAATGCTACATGTACAGTCATTTTGTAATATGACAGCAGAATACAGTCAGAAGCTATTGAAGATTTCTCTATTTAAAAATCAATTTTTGGTTGGTATTATTTCCGTTTTCCAGATTAAACATCATATAGACACAGTCATTGTGATAAAACGTTCCTGTCCATGACCTGCTGTTCTGTTGTCTTGGCCTGTTGCCAGTGTGAGTGAGTTGAAAGTATGAAATAAATGTTCAAAGTCCTCCAAATATCAAAAGCCTAAATTTTCAATTATAGCTTGCAAAGAAAGAATGGAGTTTGGATGAACTGGATGTTAGAGTGTGCTACTTCAATAAAACAAAAACTCTTGTCACGATTCTGTGTTTGTAACTTGTTTGTTTTTCCATTGACTGAGTGCAATCATACATACAACACTAAAAAGAGTCAGACAAGAGTAGCCTATCATATATATCTAAATGTTACTGTAATTTCTCTGTAAAAAACAAACATCCTATATTCCTTGACAAATAGCAAGTCTCGGCCATATGATTAACAAGTAAGAGATGCTTGGCATATATTTTGTAATTAATTATCGTAAAAATAAAAACATTTTTTAGTTCCATATCAAGTTTCTTGGAAAGCTTCTCTTGACAACACATTAGCATCCATGTTAATATCACGTCAACGAAATTTCACGTGATTTCTCGCGAGAAAATATCTCGCTTTACCAGTCGTCTGCATTTAATTGTCGGTCGAATTCTGAAGGGTAACCAGACCACTCAGACCAAAGACCACTCGGACCAAGACCAATCGCCCCCCCCCCCCCCAAAAAAAGACCAGTTCTTTTAAAGTTTTTAATATGCCTCTGGATATATTCCCGTCTTTATTGGCCCAGTCTGATGAATCTAACCTAGTCGCTCGAACCATAAATCGAACCACATTTCTTCAGGAGTTGACTTACTTAAGCTTTCCCTGAATTGATCTGGTCTGTCGCTTTTGATATCTTTTCAGTATTCCTTCCGACACCATCTTAATTCATTTGATGAGGCAACAAAAGCATTTTATGTTGTTGTTGTTGTTTATTACAAATTTAACGTCCAATACATAATGCATGATATTATGGACAGGTTGATCAGGGGCGGATCTAGGAATTTTTAAAAGGGGCCCGGGTGGGGGCCGTAAAATGAGGGCATTGACCGCGGAGATGTGGCACGCCGCTGACAGGAGATTTTTTTTAATTTTTTTTTTTTGGGGGGGGGGGGGTCTCCCCAAGAAAATTAGCCGTCACTTCATTAGCCGTCATTTCCTTGCATCTGTAGCTATTCCAAGAGCTATTTGGCTGATATTTTCGTCTAAGTAAACGTTCGGAAATCGTTGAAAAAGAGCCTTAAAATCGAGCAAAAAAGCCAGTTGAACATGCGACTCGAAAATTGTCAAGGCGAGCGAGGCATTATGATGGGAAAAAAGACGAATCTATTCCCTAGCCACTTCACTATTTAAGCCTTGTAACTTGTACTTTGCACTGTCCACATATGAAACAATGCTACATCAAGTTGCACCCATGCGCGTCGGTGATGGGCATGAGTGTATACGCCGCCGATTCCACAACATGTCTGTCTATAGTCACTCTATAGGATTAGGGCACCGTCAGCTAAACAACAAGAATTCGTTTGAAAGTGGAAGCATTAATCAGACCAGACTGGTGTGTTTGAATCGATGGTTTGAGTCATTTGGGATCCCTGCAACGGGTTGGGAACGGACATATTCAGCAGTAAAAAAGGGCACTGTCGAAAATAAGGGGGGGGGGCGCCCCTCGCACCCCCCTTGAATCCGCCTCTGTTGATTTAATTAAGTTATTTAGGCCTGCATCTGAATGAGTAAAATATAGAGGTTAGGTAAAAACACTAAATAATAAAATGTTCTTGTATATCTAAAAGTCACTTTAAAACAGATTTAAAATAATAAAAAGTTCTTGTATATCTAAAAATCACTTTAAAACACGGTTTTAAAAATGGTTTTAAAGGCTCAAGACCACTCTTTTTGTAACTGAATAATATGTCCCAATCTTTATACTGGTCAACAAATTGTAGGCTACTATTTTACAATATTCCAATTAATTGATGATACAAATTTCATCTTAACACACCCAATTTAAAAAATTGGAAAAATTCAACTAAATGATTTGAAAAGCCTGACGTAAAGCTTTTTAAATGTGACTTGGATTTAAAAAATATTTTTGAACCCTCTGGACAAGTAATTAAAATAGGATTTAATGGTTAATTTACACAACAGGTAGAACACTAACACATCTAGTACTTAGAATAAGGCTATTTTTTATTTTCTTGAACTGTCAAGCCAGCAAGAGTGTTATTGTCCCTTTAAAATCGTTGTCGTGGGAAGAGAGGGCGGGCCATCTTCTCACTTTGTCATAATGAAAACAAGTTAAAATAGGAGATCCAGCTGTTTGATGTCATCGCAGCGGATCGAAAAAAACCTGTGGGAAAAAGGATCCGCTGTTTAATGTGGAAAAGCGAAGTTCTCGCAGTAAAAACCACATAGCTGGATCCGTGGAGTATTTAAAAATAAAAATAGTCCGTGCGGTTCTTTCCATATAATAAAAGTTATTTATGTACCGGTAGGCCTTGTCTTATAGACTAATAAATGTGGCTGTTTTCACAATGTGACATTAAAATGTCAGTAGGCCTATTTCCTCTCAAACATTTTGTACATATAAATTCATTCCGTTATTGTACCAGAGCAGAAGTGACAGCCAGTGGAAACAATCTTTTTCATAATAAAATTGTACCTCACATAGTATGACTATGATATAGGCCTATAGGACAGATCTGCAGGTTAAATAGTTCAGACATGGGCCTTAACCTCAAGTTTGAATAAAATTAAGAAGTTATTGTTAACAAAAAACAGAGAAGGCGGAAGGCACACAAAGCAAATCAAGTTGCCAATTAAAAACTTAATAGTAATTATCTAGGAGAATGAAATGGTCATGTAAACTTAGTTATATTATATTATGTATCATAATTCATAATAATAATATTTATAATATTATTTTTTTTTTTTTCATTTATCAGCACTTTGTAAATGGTCAGCCACATCTTATGGCTGCACTGCATTATGATCATATTGCTCAACCAAGACCACCACCCAAACCCAGTTCACGTATTTTTTTAAGAAATCTGCAGTAGTTGAATCAAAGATTTAAAGGTAACAATGGGTTTATCAGCTTTACAATGACTATTTCCTGTCACATGTGCTCACAGTATTAGTCATACAGAGGCCTGGAATCACTGTCTTGTAGATGTGTCTTCTGTCCTATACAGGGGTTTTGGGTTGTCGAATGGTTAACACATGCATATTAGATCATAAGGGCTGTCTGTCAGTCAAGTGAGGTGGTTTCAAACTATTCGAACCAATACTTGTATGTGGCAAGGCTCCTCTGTCCAATTCGTGTGTTTTCTCCAGGGCCTCGTACGCTGAAGGGAATTATTGAAATAAAATTGGACAATTTGTCAGTCCAAAAATGACCTATCCAGTTTGTGTCAACTGGATGTTACACTCCATTTCTCTCTGTCTGACACTACAAACTATTCTATATCATTTTAGATATATTTCATTTATTTAGATCCTGGTATAAAGTACATACATTCTTTATGCATCTGTAACTCTAAGTTATGGTAATAGCATGAAATTAAAATTGAGAAAATTGTGTTAATGTTGCATTTTTTTTATTAATGGCTAGTCTAATTATCATATTTATTAAAATTAGACCACAGGCTTTAGCAGCAAACAATTAAAATATTTTACTGCTGTAATTACAAAATTAGTCTCTACCAATCTCTGATATAAAAATTCTAAAATATAATCATGTATGTACAAATTTCTTTACAGTTATTCTATCAAGTCAAATCTGATTGAGTATGAAAACTGTGAAGAAAATGCTTCAATAAAATGGTACAGATAGAGAATATAGTTGATGCTGCCAAAGGTTAGCTAAACTTATTTTATAGACATGTAGAATATTTTATAAGATAAAATGGCTTTAAATGTTCAACATAAAAACATGATAATTTTGAGACAAGTTGCTGCATGGTTTCTTTTTTCAGGATATATTCTCTCTATGTAGAAATCCTGTCTTGTAAAAGTGAAAAAGTCGCAAAATTGAGCCCCAGTTATGAGAAATTGTCCCTGAATCTGAAACCAGTGAATATGGTTTCTACAATTTATATTCATCATCATTTTGCACCGAAAAGAAATCTTTCAGTGTATTGCATGCTTCTGTAAGTGTCATATCTCGAGCTGAAAAGGGACATTTAATTTCAATGAGCCCAGTCTCGCCTTTATCACAAACACATGCATCTGGTGTAGCACCTAAAAATGGAAAAGCTGGATTTATGACAAGTCCAATGTCATGAATATGATTCCCGGGCTGGTTGATATACATTTCTTTTGCAATGAATTGTCAAATGTGTTTTCTAAAAATGAATCATCTATTTCTTTCTTTCTTTTCATAACGCTCCAAAATTTGAGGCCGTAACACAACACTTTCTTTCGTTCATCTAAATGTTATTAATATTTCTTGTGGAATGTCTATTTTTATGGCTTCATCTTGCTTTACATCTATTTATTTCCACTCAACTGTCATCTTTTCTATCTGATTTAAAGCTAAATGTACATCAACTGTTTTTTGAAAAAATATTTCACCACATTTATCAGAGTTCTCTGCTCTTAGTTGTGTTGTCACTTGTGTAAGGGGTGCCTGAAATACATATTATATAATCTATTTAATGTTTATATTTTTCAGGATTGTAGCAGTTTATTTACTAATTGGATCAATTATATGTTTTATAGACTTGGCTCTCTTGTTATATGGCCAACTGTCGTTTATATTGAGTCCCAAATGTCGTTTGTGTTGAGTCCCAATTGACGCCAATCAAGTCCCAAACGTCGTCAACTGAGTTCCAAATGTCGTTTATGTTGAGTCCCAAATATCGTTTATGTTGAGTCCCAAATGACCAATCTGAACGACAGACTCAGAGAAGTGACTCTGACACAGTGAATAGCCATGATATCCATATGACGTTATCTAAACGTCACAGGTCATGAGGTCACATCAACAAACAAATGTAAACACCATCATTATGATCATTATCAACATTACAAGACACAATGTTAGGCCTACATTGTAAACAATAGCCTTCTTGCAGCCTTTAGGACAGTATAATCCGTACAGAACGTCTTATCGCTTCTTCCAATGATTTTTCACAAAAATAACATCATCTACAATTCTAGATTTGACGTCGGCATATTAGCACTATTTTGTGCTTCGGTCGTGTCTATTTCAGATATACACAATCAATTCTGTTAATGTTTTTAGTGTGGGGATTGACTAAAAGTTAATTTTAAAAAAATTGCCAAATTCTGGCTGGGATTACTGAGCAAAATGGCCATTCACTGTAACTTGGGAAAAAATCCAGCTACCATTTAATTTTCGTAC